GTTCTAGATGTCAATGTTTCGTTCTACTCAGAGGTTTAAAGGGTATTTTTTGACGATATAGAGGCTAAGGTGTAAAGAGAAGTAAGTCTTAGCAAATAATCCCAACGTGTTTAGAAAAGTAAAACAAGATTTTCCTGAATATTTCACTATGTTATACCACAGCTTGTTCAGCAGAATATTCGGATTTTTTTTGATTAAACATCAAAATTTATACATTTGAAAGGTACATGTGGTCAGATCAAACTTAAACGTGATTTGAGCACAGAAATTGTTATATGTAACATTTGGGGGTAAATATTTTGATATAATTGCTTATATTATACCGTCGTTGCTTTGACCGAATTGATCGGTCTCTATTGGCATATGGGCTCTTGTGCGGATACGTCGATATTACCTGTTTTAGTTGTAGTAAAGATGGATAATGGTTGGCAGTGGAATCCAAGATGCACATTTCGTCCTATTTGGGACTCGTCAGCTGGATATACCTGCTTCCCAGTGATTTATGTTGTTCCCACCTGGATTCGGACTCAGGAGCGATCTTTACTATGATTAGATCACAGGTAATATCGAGGCATCCACACAGGAGCCCATATGCCAATAGAGACCAATCAGTTAGGTCCAATCAATGATGGTGTAATACCAGCAATTATACTAAAACTATACCTGTTGCACAAAAAGTTGGGTATTGTGCCTTGATGGTCTAGTAAATAATGCTCTGACGTTTGAAGCGATCGCTTGCAAGTCCGAATCCCGGTGGAAACAACATCACTCACTAGGAAGCAGGTATATCCAGCCGAGGAGTCCAGAATTGGACGAAATGTGTTTCCTGGGTTCCACTGTTAGCCGCTGTCCATCTTTAGCAAAATATTTTGATATTTAATGAAAACCTGAATATTCTACTCAAAAAGCTGTGGAGCGTACACAGCGAAATACCGAGAAAAATCTTGTTTCGTCTTTTTTAAATACGTTAAGATTATATGATAACTCACTTATATAATGATTATATCAGACTTAGTACTCCAATTCTTTTATGATATTCATGGCAACTATGAACTGGATGTTTATGCTGAAACGTAGACTTCTCAAATCTATAGACCTTTTTATATGATTCCAGTTACTGACTTATTCAGAATGCAAATGGTCTTTCTAACATCAATCTCTTTACTGTGTCTATTGATTTTTGTTATTGACTGTCGACTTGTCAACCAGTTCATGTACATATTCTAGTCCAACTGAGGGGAAGGGGGATCAATCGTGATACCCAATAACCTTGTTGTAAAGCTTTTAACATTATCCTTTAATGCCATAGATTCGGATTATCAAAATAGCTCCAGTTTCCTCATTGCAAATGGATACGCCTTACTTTATGGGTGGGTGCCATTAAGTATCGAACCCCGAGGTTCAACACTTTCATCTAATTGATTATTGGCATGTAACACTGAAGTTTTCTTACTATCCAGAATCAATGGTTAACATCGTTTTTTAGCCTCTGTTAATGAAGAATTGCTTTGTAGTTTTTGCTTATACTACAACCGATATCACTTCATGATCATGCTGGTTTGGAATGAGTGAATTGATCACCAATTAAGCATTGCTTGATTTATTCAGTCTCTAGTTGTGTTGGAAATATACACGACACATTTTCTATAGTAATTGGCTGCCTCTCTTATTTACTTCTAAACCAGTTGTGCATAGGTTTATTTTTGTGTATTAGACATTGAGTTTTTTGTGAAACTATCATACTTCGAAAATATGGATAGGTAAGTAGGTAGTACGGGGTTTAACTGATTGACTTATAGGCTACATGTAATCCAACGACACGGAGTGGTTGTCTATCATTCGACAATAACAACTTTGACATGAAACTCTTTGTCTTAACTTGATTTAACAAACTGTCTTATGAATTCGACCTCAAATGAAGTCTTTGTTACATAAGCCGCATAACTGACAACCATAAAATCAGTAATGGAACTGAAGTTTCTATTAAAGAAATTGTGCTAGAGATAAAACTATGCTTAATTTACACAATTCCAAATTTGAAGACAAAAGTATATCAGCAAAGAGAAGGAGTAGTTTATAGGATCTCCAATATCTGCGATCCCAACAAACATATTCCTGAACAGTTACGAACAAATGGCATAAGGAACATTCCAATCGACCCGAAAAAGTATAGTGGTGATATGTACATGATACATTCACACTGTACTGAAGTCAGTACACATTAACTCGATAGTAGATGTAATCAAATTCATGTATAAATTAGAAAATGAAGAAGGAGAATTAATCGAATGTTAGAATATATAAGCAAGAGGAGAGAAGATGGAAGGATGCTTAGATACCAGTGTTTATATGAAATCAACATACATTCAAATAGATACTTGAATTCACATGATCTTACTCTATATCTGTCAAAGTAGGCTTGATAAAATGTGTAACTAAGTCATCGGACTAGAAGTTTGACTAGTAAGTCGAAAAGCCTAAATCTCGTAATGAAATACATCACAGAGACACTAGTTCTAAACAGCTATCCTTGTGAATTTGTTCGAAGATTTATAACAACTGAAAAGAGAAAGTGTGGTAATGTTAATGATGATTGGGACATGCTGAAGAGAGAATTCAAATCCTCTATAGTATTGGCATATAGAGAAGGTTCATCAGAAATGTTGTATAGAATTGTTAACAATGGTGGCTTGGATTACGGGTGGCATGTTAAACTCAGAAATTCGTTCAGAGAGAAACTTTGTAGACTAAAACATCCAATAGAGATAATTAAGCAGAATAATCGAATCTATCAGATAGCATGTAATGATTCTGAGGTGAAGTATATGAAGTGAAAGTAGGCGATCTGAGTTAGTGAGATATACAATAGTAGACGGTATTGAGATAAGTAATTCGGAGAACTCGGTTATCCCTCTATGTTGTGCACTGAGCCATAATTACACTATAGAGTGACTGGGATAGGGTGAATATTTTAAAATGCTTGTATGGAGAAATTGATCACGGAATGTTTGTTCATTGAATCAACGAGCACCTAAGATACATGTAACAGGAATGACTCACCACATATTGTAGATATCTGGAAAATTTTATTACCAAGACCGAAGTTTAGGGGTTATGTATGGTTACTTTGTTATGAATATGATCAGTGAATTGTGCTTAAAACATCTATCCAGTAAATGATGCAGTGTCAGTATGTGCTGGGTATAATCAAATAAACAATCTGATTATTATTATTATTATTTATCCTATGGGTTCGTAGTGGAACACAATGCTTCAGTAGTACGTCGCTTCTCCACTCTGTTCTCTGCAGTCTTTTGAACCTGGTTCCACAACTGCCCGAAGGTTTCTATTTCCTCTTCACACTATCTCCTCTATGTCACCCTCGGACACCCAACTCGTCGCTTCCCATCTGGTTTCCACTGGAGGGCCTCACCTGGTGCGCGATGTCCCCATATGGTCTTCTCACTGTATGCCCAATCCATCTCCACTTCCTCCAACTGTATATTTGTTGGGCGATGGGTTGTTTCTTGGTTCGTTGCCAGCTAGCCAGAGTTCCTTATTGCTTATTCTTACTATTCTGGCTTTCTGATCTGATCTTGAGTATCGAGTGAGCGTAGGCGGCAGCTGTTGATGATGTACATCTGCAGTTTGTTGGAAATGCTTTTTGTAACGCGCCGCCAAGTCTGTGAACTATCACATGGAAGCACTGACTTTAGTGTGACTGAGATTAGTGTTGAAAATGCGGATGTTGTTCATGCTTTATGCTGAGTGCAGTGTAGTGCAGAGGAGTGGAGTAGATCTGTACACTGATTTCAGATTGATGAAGACCTGTCTTGGTGTCTTTTTGATCGTGGCTTTGAGATCCTCATCTATGCCTGTACCGCTTGTAGTTGGGACGATGCTGCGTTGCCTAGGTAGGTGTTAAGTGAAGAGGAGAACTTCGTTTATATTTGTTCTGTTGATGGTGATTGGTGCTTGTTTTTGTTGTTGTTGTTGGTTGAGTATCTTCATCACCTGTGTCTAACTATTAACATTATCTAATTATTGTCATTATTGTTATTATTGTTTATCCTATGGGTTCGTAGTGGAACACAATGCTTCAGTAGTACGTCACTTTTTCGCTCTGTTCTCTTCAGTCTTTTGAACCTGGCTCCACGACTGCCTACAAGTTTCTATCTCTTCTTCACACGATCTCGTCTATGTCACCTCGCTTAGTTTACTAGCTCACTAGCCACTTCTAAGCCTGGACAATGTCTTGACATCTCGAATTGAACTACTGACTGTCACAAAAGAATGGTGATCCTCATGAGGTTGAATGATGTTGACAGTGCAGAAAGTTAGGGCAAGTTCTTTTCATTGGAATTACTTATGGGGTTGAGTGATGAATCAACTTTGATAATTTATACATTTTACATCATTGGAGACTTCTGTTTCAAACTACTTAGGTTATAAAACAAGTTTTCCTGTGAGTGCCTATATCAGTGCTAATTATTTCATCATCATATTTCCGGATCAAATATCACCTGATCTCAATAAGCTAATCTTAGATCGAGAAGACCTTGAGATTATCAGAAAACTCTATTCATTCAGAACATTTTTTTGTAATATCCAAGTTATTGTAGCATTAAATGAGTGTTGAAAACTGCAATCGGTATGTAATTTTGACGGTATAGCAGAGTGTTATTTTTAAATTTGATTAGTCTATTTAATTTGGCACCTTGTATTCTCCAGGTTAAGGAGGAAATGTTTCTTTTAGTTTTTTTTCACCACTTTCTTTTGTCATTCTCGTGTATAAGTTGATGAATAATCTTTTCTACTCCTTTTGCAAACCCGATTAACGTTTATAATAGATTAGATACATTAGATATGCATCGTTTTATTGATTTAAATTTCAAACTACTAATAAGTAGTTCAATGAATCTAAGCAAATTTCCTTTGTGAATGTTTTTTTTATGGCATGTAAGATTCCTTCACTATTTTCATTGACTATTTCTGTTTAGTTAAATGAAAATTGGGACAGAACCTCTCAAGTTAGTTCATCTGTTGACAGTGAGAATTCTGTTGAAATTGGTCTGGAAGCAAAAGACGATATAGAAGATAATGTACCTGGAGCTATTGAAATTCCAAGTGTTGGTAATAGTACTACTAGTAGTAGTAATTATGAAGCACGTAGTAACCGTGGAGCAGCTCATACCTACAGTCATCATTATGGCCTATCAGATTTTAACCGAAGTGAACATATTACTACTGCTCATAGTTTATTTCCTACACATCATAATATGATGCATCAACAGATGTTACCTACAAATACTTCTATGTGGAATCCTTTTAATTATGCTCAAAGTGGATCAATGCAGAACTTTAATCTTTCATCTACTGCGCCAACATGTGACATTTTCTCAAACTTAATGTTTCCTAGGCTTTTTCCCCCATCTGTTTTCCTTTCTTACTAATCTTAACCACAGTCGAATATGTTTCTTCTGTTGTGTAAACAGTTGAAATGCTGACATCAAATAAACAATTCTCTATTGTTATACCTAATGTTTACCTGTCTCCTGTGAATTTGCTTTGCTTTTCATTGTTTTTTGTTGTTGTGTGAATTGAACACTGCAAGATGTGTCCTACATGAACACCCCATATCAACCGTTTAAACTTCATAACCAGATGACTGAAGCTTAGAATTAAATTGTGTTTTCAAGTAACTGCCTAAAATTTTAATACATATATCTAATTTGTTTGTAAATAAAATAAATATTCATGCCTTGTCTCCTTCTCATCATCAACCTTATTGTTTTTCTTAAAAACGATGGTTACGTGTAGTGTTAATTTTGTGTTCATCTTGATAGCTGGTAGTGGAATCCAGGACATACGCTTCGTCCTATCTGGGACTCGTCAGCTGTAATTACAAATATCAGACAACTACTGTTAGTCGTTGTTTTTTTGATTGATCGAATTTGTACTGAGACTGTAGATTTATTTCGTGTCAGGATTTATCAGTGATAAGTGTTTAGAGCACTGATTGAATTGCCCGTCTTTATATAGATATTCAACTTTGTAATGAGAAAGGTAGACAGATAAATCAGGATAGAATGGCATGATTTCAAGTTGTTATACTTGACAGAAGAAGAGGATAACAAACAGAAGAATGATATTGAACTAGACAAGAAATAAATAAACGAATTTTAATGCAATAACTCAAGGTTTCGAAGATGATAAAGAGGGTATATACATCTAACTTTGTAACTCATTTTGACCGGTATCAATTATTATTATTATTAGTCCCTTGGGTTCCTAGTGGAACATAGGGCTTCAGTAGCACGTCTCCAGTGACCTCTGTTCTCTGAGACCTTTTGAACCTGGTTCCACAACAGCCCACAACCTCTCATTTCCTCCTCGTACGACCTCCTTCATGTCACCCTCAACAAGGACGCCCAACTCGTCGCTTCCCATAGGGATTCCACTCGAGGGCCTGGCCTGACGCGTGATGTCCCCAGTCGGCCTTCTCAGTGCATGGCCAATCCATCTCCACTTCCTCCTTCATATTTGTTGAGTGATAGGTTCTTGGTTGGTTCGTTCCCAGAGCTCCTTATTGCTTATTCTTTCTGGCAATCCATCTGATCTTCAGTAGCGAGCCAGCGTAAGCAGTTGTTGATGAATGTCTGTAGTTTATTGGTAATCCATTTCGTAACGCTCCAAGTTTCTGAACCATATAGAAGCACTGACTTGACTGAATTGGTGTTGAAAATCCGGATCTTGTTCCACATGCTGAGTGCAGAAGATCTCCACACTGGTTTCAGGCTAGTGAACGTCTGTCTTGCTTTTCCGATTCTGACTGGCTTTGACATCCTTGTCTGTGCCTGTGCCACCTGTAGTTGAAACAGTGCTGCCTAGATAGGTGAAGGAGGTTACTTTCTTGAAGTTTCTCCCATTGATGGTGACTGGAGTTTGTTGTTGGTGGTGGTGCGGTATCTTCATCACTTCTGTCTTCTCTATTTTCACTTGAAGTTCCGTCTTCGCTGCCTCTTCTGTCAACTTGTTAGTTTTCGCCTGTAGATCTTCAAGTTTATGTGACATCAGGCACAAGTCATCGGCGAAATCCAAGTCTTCTAGGTTCTTTTCCGCAGTCCAGCGTATCCCCCTCTACTCACAGTTCCCCACTGTTTGCTGCATGATCCAGTCCACCACAATCAGGAATATCATGGGGGATAGTAAGCAACCTTGTTTCACTCCTGTCTTCACTTCTAAAGCATCACTGAGCTTCCCATTGAGAATTACTTGGCTGGTATGTGGCGTCTTCATATAGTTGTTGAATGAGGTGGATAAAGGTTTGCGGTACTCCGTAGTATTGAAGCAGTTTCCAAATTACTTGTCGGTCGACGCTGTCAAAGGCCTTTTCAAAGTCGATAAAGTTGAGGTAGAGAGCTGATTGCCATTCTATGCCCTGTTCTATGATGATGCGAAGCGTTGCAATTTGGTCTGTACATGATTTGTACTTCCTGAAGCCTGCCTGTTCCGACCGGTATCAATGACAGTTTCAATTCTTATCTCCAAGATAACAATCAGGTACTTCATTGGTTTTTTATCATGTCTAGAGTTGGTCATTCTTAGCTTCTGTTGGAAAATATCATTCATTGAGGTACACGATAGCTTAGTATTCATGACGCATAGCCATCTCAGTCTCTCATAGTATAAGATGTTAATGTCTTAGCTACCTAGGTATTTTCTCCGTAGTCCTAAATTTTAGTCACTGATAATAATAATAATAATAACATTGAAGAAGAACAAGTAAGTATTTCAGCAAAGAGTCTCTTTTTGGCAATTTCATTTTCAAAGCTGTACAGTCACAAATTTATCCTTTTTCCTGAATGATTACAAAGAGGCAACAATAGAGTGGTATAATTGAATACATCGGGAACAGGAATCACGCTGTCTTAAGAACCTCCTCGTCCAAAGTCATCTATAAAGTGAAAAGAAACCTTCCAGAGGCTTTATATTTTCATATTCTCTGCATCGCCGAAGCTCTTTCCATCCATATGGAAAAACGTGAACTGTATCTGCCAGAGACATTTGTTCAACTTTTCCTTTCATGGCCTTAGTTTTCAGTCTTCAAAATTTTCTCTACCCTCCCCTACCCTTTTCTATGTTGACACTATTCAATTCTTAAGTAATTTGCTACTCATTCTTGTTCTCATGCTCTGCTTGATCACAGTTCAGTTCCCAATTATGTCGTCGTCATGTTACGAAACACCTTGATGTCCAAACTTATTCCGATTAATATTCACTGATCATCAGTTTTATCTCGTAAGAGTTTAACAGTTTGCAATTTGAGATACAATATCGATGCTAAGTACCTAATAACCTACACATAGAAGAGGATTAAAAAATGGTTAGTTTCCATGTAACAAGTCTTTATACTAAAATATTAGTCAAAATGACACTGGAGGTAATCCGAAATCAACCAATAGTGACTCAAAACTTACAGAAATAAGATACTGATTGATGAGATCATATTAGGCGTACAGTTGTACCTGACCTCTGCAGTCTTCAAATTTCAAGACAAAATATGTTGACAAACAGATGAAGTAGCAATCGGATCGCCAATATCCGCAATTGTAGCAGATATATTTATGGATAGTTAGGATAACATGACTTTAAAAACGTTTAATCCTGCACCTAAGATGTGCTGAAGATATGTGGATGACTGCACATTTACTGTTTTGAAATCGGAACATATCAACAATCTCCTCACACATATAAACTCAGTAGTGGAGGCAATTCAATTCATTTATGAGTTAGAAAATGAACATAGAGAGTTACCTATGTTGGATTACAGAATGAAAAGGGAAACCGACATATTCTGAGAGATATCTCGACTTCAATTCATCTCATCCAATGTCAGTTAATTAAGACAGGTTTAGTCAAATGTCTAAATGATAAAGCTGGGAAACTGATTAGAGAGTGTAGCAACCTAACCAAGGAACTGAAGCACCAATAATTAATAAATATCCTCTAATGTTCATTAAGAAATTCATACGAACACGTAAGGAACGAAATAATAAGTGGAGATGGATTGGGCATGCACTGAGAAGGCCGACTGGGGACATCACGCGTCAGGCCAGGCCCTCGAGTGGAATCCCTATGGGAAGCGACGAGTTGGGCGTCCTTGTTGAGGGTGACATGAAGGAGGTCGTACGAGGAGGAAATGAGAGGTTGTGGGCTGTTGTGGAACCAGGTTCAAAAGGTCTCAGAGAACAGAGGTCACTGGAGACGTGCTACTGAAGCCCTATGTTCCACTAGGAACCCAAGGGACTAATAATAATAATAATTGTGTTACCGTATAAGGAAGGTACATGAAAAACTTTTGGTAGGATCCTCAACAAAGCTGGAATTAGAGTGACCTTTCAACCTAAAAACTTAGAGATAAACTTTATCAGCTTAAGGATCCGATAGAATCAATTAAACAAAGTAATCTGATCTATCAAATTCCATGTAATGACTATGAGGTCAAGTACATAGGTCAAACTAGCCGGTCGGGGTCAGTTAGAATGGCAGAAGATAGGAATTTTCCTAAATATAGAATGACAGATATGAATAAAATTAATAATCTAGAAAGTAACTCGTCTATTGCTATGGATGGATTAACACACAATAGGGTGGGTGGGATAAAGCGACTGTACTGAAGTCCAATACAATTAGTTGGATAAAGAGAGAGGGAGATTGATTACTGATTATTTTTTCATCTAATTAACACGCAACACATGTAACAGAAATGACGCAACACCTACATACCAGAGATATGGAAAGTTTTAAGACGAATAAAAACAACTCATATGAGGTGACATAACTATAGAAATCCAATGTTGAAAGTTGTATGAGTACACTGATATGATTATGAGCGATAATGATTTGTGCTAGAAACTTCATCAAGTAAATCATACTGTTAAATTTTGAGGGAGTTGTGGAGATTTGGAATTATTCCAAGTTGTTATTCATCGTAGACTGACATCAGTTGGAGGAACAAAGGAAACCTGGGAGCACGAAACAGCTGTCCAGTGCTCCCAGGTTTCCTTTGTTCCTCTAACTGATGTCAGTCTAAGGTGAATAACAACTTGAAATAAATCATACTGTATCACCACTGTGTGCTGGTTATTATCAAATAAACAAATCTAATATGGAATAACATTCTACCACAGTGCCTAAGTTTTACACTTAATTAAATCGTGTCTTCTGGTCTTTAGGTTTTCAAGTGCTATACAGTTACAAATTGTAGATCTTGATTAGAAAATCTGCGGTATATCTCAATCTAGAGATTACGTTTATATAACTTTTCTGAGCCGAAAAAGCTAACTTTTATATTTTCGTTAACTTAAATCTTATTTTCGCGCTTTTTTCAACCCATGATCAAGGATCATAAAATTGTATATAAAAGACTAAATTTTCAGCAATAATCCCAACATTTAGTTGTATTCTTCTTCTTATGTCAGCCAAATATCATGTTAAAGAGTCATTCGTCTATTGTTATTCGTATCGCGTGCATATAGATACATATGACGAAAACAGTGGTGACGGTGAATAAAAATGAACTCTTTGAAGCTGGACAGGTTTCTTGAATTACTTACTCAATCCGAAATTTCCATACCTTAATCATCCAATCCTATGCATGCTATATCAGTCGATGGGATTGCAAACAGCATCACTGAATTTCATTATTATCTAGACGTTAAGGTAACTTTTGATACTTGGTCCCGAAGATATGAAGACCATTTCTAAGGTGGTTTTCCTGGTGAAGATTAATGGAAAGTTCGCCTCCTCCTTGGAAAACTTGATTCACCTAAATCAGGTCAGTATTGCAGTATAGTAATATCGCAGAACACAAGAGACCGCTCCTTTGATA